GAGGGTCGGCTGCCAGGGGCCTCACAGAGCCCCACTGTGTCCACCGCAGCACGTTCTCGCTCAGCTGGTCTGCAGGTAATGCGTGCCGTGTGCTCTGTTTTCCTGCAGGGGACACTGTGGTCAGGAAGGAGACTGCCGAGTGGGAGTGGGGGTGCGGGGGAGGGTGTGAAGCCACTTCCAGTCCTGGGCAGTGTGAGTGGCCCCGGATGGGGCCCTTTCTCTTGCTGTGAGAAGCAGGAAATGGAAGCCGTTGGTCACAGGGCTCTCAGACATCAGAGCGGGGGAGGAGGGAGAAGGCCGGGTGCAGATACGGCCTCGGGAGGCTCCTTTCTCTTTGGATCCCTGCAGCGTGTGTAGGAGGCCACGTGGCTCGGTGGCTTCTTGGGGACGGCCCTGTGCTTGCCCAGCACGCTGCTCCCAGGACCGAGGAGAGCCCAGTGGGTGGCGGGCACGTCGCCGGCGCCTCACCACTGATGAGCAGTCACTACCTCTCTATTCCACTCGGTTACAACCGAGTAAGTGAGGGGGGCAGATTGCTGCGAGTGCATCGAATACTTACGAAACCTCAGGCTGCCTGGCCGTGGGGAGGGGTGTGCGTGAGTAATGTTTCCCCTCACAGTCACGTAGCTGGTCAGAGCTGGGGCTGAAAGCCGGACTTCCGGTCGCTAATCCCAGACTCTATTCATACCGAGAGCCGTGAGGGTCTGCATTCTTTCCGGCAGAGACGGTCTCCTTTCTCCTGGGTTTTCCTGTCTGTCATCCATCCGTCTCGTCATTAATTCCCTCACCTTGTTCCATGGAGGAGGCAAGAGGCCCACAGAAGAGCTGTCTATTGCTTGGACATGTAAGAAACACAGAACTATGTCTTTATAAAAAGAAGATAAAATAGGTGCTATCTGCCAGAGCCAGACGTAGCTATTTTATATGTGTTTGCCTATGTCTATGTGTATGTCATCACAGAGAAACCCATAAAGTAAGATGAGGAAAAATGCAGGTGAGCTAGAAGGTCAGAGTCGGGGCGAGAGTTAGCTACATCCTCAGGCCGCAGAACCATTTCTCTATTTGAACCACAGATGTAGCTCTGAGCTAATTAGCAATCCAAGCAGGAAAAAAAAATATTATGTGCACGGTTCACGGGGCCCATAATGCAAAGGATGCCAGAGGCCCACTGCTTTTCCAGGCAATTAATCGGCAGGAAATTTCTTGCCTGGGTGGTCATTGTGCGGGCCCGAGAGGGAGGAAATATGTGGCACATATGCCGCCGCTCCCGCTCCCGCTCCTGGGTGGACCCCACGGATCACTCACGGCCGGTTCCCACGGAGGCCCGGGAGGCCGCACAGTGCCAGCGTGGTGTGCCAGGCAGCCATGGCCGTGACTTGGAGTTGGGCAGGACGAAGCCCCTTGCCTTTCAGCACTGGGGGTGGTGCCATATTGGGAGCCGTGCGCAGGCCACCTCTGCGGGGTGGCATCGTGGAATGTCCTGTTGGCCCTCAGAGGTGTGTTTGCTGGGAACCCCCACCTCCCCCCAGGTGCCAGTTGGAGTGACCTGTCAGGGTGACGAGGGGGGTAAGTTTGCAGAGACATGGGACACACGGGGGGCGTCTAACTCCTCACAGTCCTCCGCTTGTCCACAGATGCTTAGCGAGAAGGGGCGCCTGGCCCAGTCTGCTCAGCTCTCTGGTCCCAGTTTAACTTGACCTCCTCAGAGTTGCCCTCCCCGCCTCTCCCTCCACATCAGAACTCCCGCGTCCTGTCCCCGCTCCTTCCTCTGCAGCCGGTGTCACAGCCTGTACTGATGCAGTTACTTATGTTTGTTTGTTTAGCGTTCCCCCTCCCAAGACGTGGGTTCCAGGGTGGCAGGGACAGCGCCTGGCGTGCTCCTCATGGTGTCCTCAGTCCTCGCCCGGCGTCCAGCATGTCATCGGTGCTCAATGCCTGTTTGTGGGATGAATGAATGAATGAATGAATGAAAGGTTAAACAGGACATGAACATGGAGCAGATGCAGACTGCCCAGTAGAAGATAAAGACATAAATGTAACACAGGGCGGCAAATGCTGAGACCCGAAGGGAGGGGACAGGTGGGGAGCCAGGGGACTTCGGAGGAGGAGGCGTCGCTTCCAGAGGGAAGGGGAGGTCAGGGCTTCATGGCGCAGCACCCTTTGGGGGTCTGGAAGGGTGAGGTGGAGGTAGGGACATCTGGGGCCAGGGGTGGGGGGCAGGAGCAGAAGCAGCATGGAGGGACTGGAGGTGAGAGAAGACAGCATGACTTGGGGTGCCCTTAGGGCTGGGGCTGGGGGCAGGAGCAGCTGCACCAGGAAAGGTGGGAGCTTGGCCCACGGGCTTGATTTGGGCAGCAGAGGGAGAGGCAGCAGATTTGTGAGTGGAGCAGGGATGGGGTGAGAGGGGCCAGGCAGGCTGGGGGAGAGCTGAGTGGCCCCGGAGGGGTGGGGGCCGGCCCGGGGAGAGCACACGGCCTTTGCCCCCTGGACTCGATTCCTGGTCAGGGCACATCCCTGGGTTGCTGGTTTGATTCCCAGCCAGGGAGCATACAGAAGGCAGCTGGTCTATGTTTCTCTCTCACATCGATGTTTCTCTCTCCCTTCCTCTCTCTAAGCATGTCCTCGGATGAAGATTAAAAAAAGAAAAGAACAAAAGCCAGGCTCACTGCATGGTGCATCCCTACTCCTCCCCATTTCTGAATAGCCGACGTACTTAGGACCCTTGATTGCAAATCCCAAAGATCCAACTCAAACCAACATGAGCAAAAAAGGGCATGCCCTTGGGAGTCAACGTGGTGGTTCAGGTGCGGCTGGACCCAGCAGTTGGCAGTGCCATCGGGATTATGCCCTCCACCCCTCAGCTCCGCTTGGCTCCATTTTCAGGCTGTTTCCAAGGGACAGCAAGGTGGCCGTTGCCAT